CGCTCTCTCTTGACTTTGGTCGTTTTTTGACTTTCGCGTGACACGTGCACATATGGGGGAGAAAGATAGTGTGTGGGAGATGTTGCGCACGTCTAATACCACGATCGAATTCACGCACAAGTCGCCGTCCTTCCGACAACATAATTTGGGGCAGACAGTGGATCGAGTCGAAAAAGTCCCGAGCCGAGTCCGCTACTGCTGTGGTTATGTACAGCGGTAAGGTAACTGTGGGGCGACTGACTGGAAGAATCGGGTTTCGTGACTCTTCGATGAAGCGCTATCGGGGCTTTGTGAGAAAAAGGAGGTAGTGCGGCATACTTGGCCTAAGTCTGCTTCCGTACAAACGGGATTCAGATGCAAATCGCCGATGCCCCTAACAGCACGTGCTGAACGTCATCAATTGCGATGACGATTCAACTGACCGACAAAACGGATTCTGTTTCCTTCTGCTCCGTAGCTGTCGGTCCGCAACTTTTTTCACATTCACTATCATCAGCGAAAGCTTTCCAAATTGTGGGGCATAAGAGCTCATCGGTCTCCACCAGCCATGAGTTGGTACCGCCAACAACCCACCTAGCAAAAGACAGGAGCCCTTCAAAAAATTGCCCGGACATAGAATAACTTCTTTAAGTAGAGGATAAACTCGGCAGCCTCGGTGGGATTCGAACCCACACCAGCACGTACTTGAGGTCCCACCGGGAGCCATAAGTTTAATCGCACTTGGATAAAGTTACTCACTCAGCTGGTCTGGGTTCGAATCCGACCGAAGCTACCGATTTTTTTTACAAATGGATCAAATGCATTTTTGTGTGTTGGCCAAAAACAACAAATGCTGAAAGGTAGATGAGCAAGGCGACTTACAATGATATTGACCAGTGGCGTTATTAGCGGGTCAGGGGGTGGGGTGAGATGATCGAGGGATGAAGAAGAAGTAAACCTAGGGTGCGCCATGATGAAACAGACGAGGAGGGGAGTATTTGTGAATAATCTGAAGCATTTCTTCAGCCTTGCTGGCCGGCAGGATCTCGTTGCTGTCACGCAAGTGCGTCACCGCACGGTTCTCCGGGGACTCCACTTGGATGTGACGCAGCAGACGGTTTGGCACGTTCTGAAGCAATTAAGAAAACATGCAAGTGTGCGGGAGGTTTAATATGCTAATATTTAATTATTATATGTGTATATTGCATTTGAACTTTGCCGGCAAAGACAAGGGAGACTGGAATGGCTATTTGCCGGGCTCAGTAACCGCCATCAGCCATTCAGGTGGTTAAAGCTTTGACTGTACTGAAAACTTGCCTTGCTGTCTTTGGTTGAAATCCCGAGGCAGCCGATTTTTTTCACAAATAAAGCAAATGAATTAATCAAAGCTGTCAACGCCCGCCCTCTGGCTCCCAGAGAGACGCCTTGAAGAAACCCAGTGACGAAACCTTCAAGCAGCGAGAGTTGGGGTATTATTATCAACCAACCCGATCTTGCACGGGGAAGGCAAGGATAGGTTACCAGCACAGACCACCTCCATGCGCATCTGCTCTGTTACTTGCACCTTTGCAGCAAGTTAGATCGGTCGCACAAAAAGAATGAGGAAACACCTCTCGGCATGGTTGAGAAAAAGTGAAGTCAGGAGTATAAACAGCACTATTCTTGCGCATAATGTTGATTTCAGACATCGTGTGGACCCCAAACGAAGCCTTCTGGGTGATTCATTGGGGTCATATCAAACTATTCAGTCACTCTTTCAAAGCCTACTAGCAAATATAGAAGCGACCGCTACCAGGCTGAGGAACCCAGTCTTTTGTGCACAAAAGAACCTCCTGCATGCTCCGCGCCTGGCATGGCCAACGGTGGCCTAACTGCACTCTTCCGCGTTTTTCACTCTCCTCCTCTCTCCTTGGCCCGGCTTCAGCTAACCCTCACTGCCGCGTAGCCAGCCTCTCTCTTATATTTATATTGTAACGAAGGTTTGTGTGTGCCGTGCACCCGTTCGGTTTGTCCTTCTCTACGGCTGTTAATGCTGAGCAACGCGTGTGAATGCTGAAAGGAAAGTAGAGATACTTGACCACAGCTGCCTGAGGACCATCCTTCGAAGGAAGTACACTGACGTTGTCCCAAATGGGGCAGCCCGTACTCGTTGCGACAACATCGGAAGAATATAGCGGGCCATCCAAGAAAGACGAATAAGGTGGTTTGGCCAAGTTCTTAGTCGTCAACCTCACGAGCCTAAGTACTAATGCCCTCGACTCGACACCGTTACCCAACTGGGGACGTTGAAGGGGGGATCAGCTCAAAACCTGGTAAGAGTCAGTCCGTCAGGGCGTAGCAGTAGTTCTTGGACATTCTGTATTCGGCCTCCATCGTTGGCGAAGAGAATGGATTGAACTGTCTGCTGCCACTATCCGGGAAATCGTGTAGGTCGGCTAGATCAGCCGTAATAACAGCCACAACTAGTACATGTAAGTTGCTGTTCCCCGCAGAAAGGAAGTTGTGGGTGAATAAGAGAGGGGGAGCAGACGAATCGCCAGCCGGGCTTGCGTGAGTGACAATAAGCTGTGCAAAACACGTCAGAATTCTGACCTATGTCTTTCTCCTTCTCTCTATATGCGTGAGTGAACGGTTACTCCCGAGCGCGCCTGTGTGCGACTTCGGTGTTGCGAGAGACACATAGAGAACCCTGGGTATGACGTAGATCGTGTTGGAGACGTCGCTCGGGCGCCAGCAGACAGCGCACCGGATCGACGCCGCGCAGTCTCACAGCGGTCTGTGCGAAGGAGGCAATTAAACCCCATGCAGCGGCGGTGGTGAGCAGTTTGGTGTGTGTGTGAGCAGGGACTGTCCTCGCCGCTCCGCAAATAACACAAAAACGACGCAAAAACTGCAGATGGGGAGGCCGAATAAGCGCAAAAATTATACTTTGACGCGGGATAAGAAGAG